ACTCAGTGTCTTAAGTGAGCATATGGTACCTATCCTGGGAGTAGTCAAATCTTTGTGCTATTTCACTTTACATGTGTCTTCTTTCTCCCAAATAAACTACAGTTCTCAAGAGCATGGACTGAGGTTTATAGTTCATTTCTTCCGTAGATGCTTAAAAAAATAGTCAGTCGACCATTGTTTGTTGATTGACTAGCTGATAGAAATCCTTCAAGTGCCAATGATCTAAAGCTGGTGTTACCCCCAATAACTAGAAGAAAAGCCATAGGCTGGAGGAATCAGACCCTCTGGGTAGTTGACTATCCTAGGGATGAGGTCCTGGAGCTTGCTTCTTTGACTAAATATAGCTGGGGGGCGGGGGGAGGTCCATTGGAATTTTCCATCAAGACTCATAGGTTAGGGCCCAGTGCCCAAATGCCATGGAAACTGAGCAGATTCCAAGCTGGGAAAATAACCTTGGACAAGCTGGCATTGTTTTTGTACACTCTGGATGCCATATGAAATGATACCAAGCAGCCTGGGATTGCAGGTATTTGTAAAGAGCTCCACCCTCGTGGAACCTCAGTCTCTAAAATTAGGGAGCTGGAGAGGTTCCCAGGTGCCGTCGAAATCAAGAGATTCTGACTGGGAATGGGAATGTAGTTCAGTGGGCAGATTGCCCGCCTAGCATGAGGCGAACAGTGCGAGACTGTATAAACCAAGCGTAATATTGCTGCCAGCCTGTAATCCCAGCACTCAGGAGATTAAGGTAGGAGGATCAGGAGGGGGCCGGGAGGCTGTACTTATTATTATATTCATTGTATAAAAGACATCCGGGTCACCGGCTCCAGGGGAATCCCAGGTAGGACAGCCCTTCTCTCCTCTAGAATGCCTGGAACTCCCAAGATGCCTCTGAGCCCACATGGCGGGTCCTACACCTGCAGAACCAGCCAGAACCCCCTCTACATGGCCTCTCGTAGGATGGCTGCTGAGCTCAGGGAGAAAGCCTCCATGGCGTGGTGGCCTGGAGAGTGAGCCACGAAAGGATATCACGTGGAAACAGCGGCTTTTCTAACTCAGTCCTTGCCCAGTCTGCCTAGAACCAAGAGAAAGGGTCCTGATTCCACCCTCTCTTAACAAGAGCACCCCAGGGATTCTTGGAGCCGCCTTCCCTAACTCCCCAAATAAACATAAATTGCTCCCAAGTTTGAAGCTTCTATCCAGAGTCACCAGTATAATAGGCAAGGGCTGTTCTCTGACCTGGGTGCAGCGTGTGGCCCCAGCTGTCAAGTATCCCTCTTGCCCCAAGTGGAGCACCCTGGCGTAGCCTCTGCTGAAAGCCCTTTACAGACGAAAAGAACCCTCTTGTCAGTCTTAGCTCTGCCAGCCATCCTGAACAGCTCTTCACCTCCGAGTCACCCTCCAGCAAAAAACCTGCTCGCACAAAGCGAGCTCCACATGCCGGTTCCTCTATTAAGATGTATCGTTCACAAACCCGGCATCCCCTTCAAAACACCCTCAGCTGTCACTTACATAAGAGAACTTGGCAAAACAGATGGAGCAAGCCAGGGGTGTCTTCGCCTGGGGCAGTGTATGCTAATGTCTTGGCACAGGCACCTTGAACCACTTTGCTTCCCAGCGAAGTTCCATCAGCTGCAAAGTTCGAGATCAGGAAATGTGGAGACGCAAAGCTGTTCCTTTTCTTCCTCCCGAAGATAAAACCACCTTCTTGTTAATTGAATGGTTGGTGGGAAATCTGGAGAGCAAATCATCCAAGTCAGTGGGGAGGGTAAGCGGATGCTGCCTGGGGAAAGGGTTGCCTCCTCTTGCTGTGATGAAACACCCTGACCAAAAGCAAGTTTCTTTCCTCTTACACTTCCAGGTCACAGTCCGTCCCTGAGGGAAGTAAAGGCAGGAACTCAAGAGAGGAGCTGGAAGCAGAAACCATGGAGGGATGCAGTTTGCATTCTCTGGCTTCCTGTCTCTGGCTCACTCACAGCCTCATGCTCCAGTTAGCTTTCTTTTTTTTTTTTTTTGGTTTTCCGAGACAGGGTTTCTCTTGTGTAGCTTTGCGCCTTTCCTGGATCTCACTTGGTAGCCCAGGCTGGCCTCGAACTCACAGAGATCCGCCTGCCTCTGCCTCCCGAGTGCTGGGATTAAAGGCGTGCGCCACCACCGCCCGGCTCCAGTTAGCTTTCTTATACAGCCCATGTCCACCTTCCTAGGGATAGAACCACCCACAGTGGGCACCCCTACACACATCCACCAACACTCAAGACAATCCTTCACAGACATGGCCACAGGCCCATCTGATCTGGACAATCCCTCAACTGAAGTAGGCTTTGTCAAGTTGATAGCAAAAGCTAGCTAGAATGTACACACAGAAAGAAAGGATGGGATACTTGGTACGTGGAAGGGAAAGGTTTTGGGGGAGAGGAGAGAGTACACACAAAGTGAGGAGGCAGGAATGTGCCTTGGTGTCCCCAGAGCTTCTGGAGATGGCTGGTCTACTCAGAGGGGAGGATTTGGGGATTTGTACTTGAGAACTGTGGGGACCAGTTAAGTATTCCATTTGTCCAGAACAAGACCACACACACACACACACACACACACACACACACACACACACACACACACACACAGGCGTAGGACCCAGGGTAAACTGTACCTAGCAACTGACCCCTTTGCTGTCAGTGATTGGGCCAGGCGTGGGCAAACAAGACCAATCACAGCCCCTTTGGTTTCAGGACTAGTTCCAGCTGGAGTTGGCAGGAAGAATTCCTCTCTCCCGCAGCGACTCTGCGGGGCCCAAGAGTCTCCATTCTCTGGGCTGAGCAAATCTAAACTCCAACCTCGTCATCGGCTTTGTGAGTTCTCCACGAGCTCCTTGGCCAGGCTCCACTCCCTCATGAGTAAGATGAGTATAACCATGCAGAGGCAGAAGAGTGGGGTGGAAAAGGAGGGTCGGGGGTGCCAATGACAACCGTCCCCACACCACTACACCCCCAAGGGCGACAGGTAAGGAACAGAGAGGATGCCAGAAGAAAGCCTGAGGTTTCCAGCAGGGAAAGTCAGGCACTGTGGAAATGCTCATAAAAGCTCAGTGCTCTAAAGGGACGGTGCCATTGAGTTCCCAATCTTCTTCCCCGGCTGTCTGATCCACACCCTTGCCCGCACGTGCTCTCATCCTGAATAAACTGTGTTTCTACCACTATCCATGTATACCTGGGCCAATCCTTTGTTCCAGGAAATGCCAGCAGGGGCCGCTAGACTCCAATATCTACCTATTCAAATACGTTATACCTGTAAGTCTGTTATATGCTTAGAATAGTATTGGCCCTTCCTAAGGGCTCAGTAGGCAGCTCTTACTTTCAAGATGGCATCCCAGAGCTGCTGACACCGTAAAAGCTATGTTAGAAACCAGCCAACCAGAGAGACCATGTCCTTGAACCAGAGGGAGTCTGTCCTCAAATGGACTCCTCAAGGATGTCAGTCCTCAAATGAAGTCTTCACAGAAAATAGTCCTGAGGGTACATACACACCCGGCTTTTCTGCAACTTGATCACAGGAGTCAATAAAATTTTCTCTCTCTCTCTCTCTCTCTCTCTCTCTCTCTCTCTCTCTCTCTCTCTCTCTCATCTTATTATTAATAAGTTGTTATTCTTTTTAAATTTTTGTGGGAGTTTTTTGTTTGTTTTTAAAGATGTATTTATTTGCTTTTTATGCATACAGTTTTATGTCTGTGTATATGCCTGCAGACCAGAAGAGGGCATCAGATCTCATTATAGATAGTTGTCAGCCACCCTGTGGTTGCTGGGAATCGAACTCAGGACCTCAGGAAGAGCAGCCCTTAACTCTTAACCACTGAGCCATCTCTCCAGCCCCTATTTTTATTCTTTAAATTCCCCTTTTGTAAGTGTAAGCAGGTTCAAGTGCAGTGTCTGCAAATGATATCTTAAAAGTATTTGACTAGCACTGTTTTTAAAAAGCAAAATTTTATTCAGAAACACGCCTGTGATGTATTCCCCTAATTACACAATCTGTTTATTGAAACAATGGCAAACTCTTCTGTGTGTTCCTTTTTCCTAATATTACCTGCTGAGCTCCAAGAATTCAAGTCAATCTGGAAGAAATTCCAAACAGAGGGAGTGGAGAAGTCTGACTGGACATGATGAGTCACATATGGAGAAAGTGACAGAGTCCGGCAATGTCTTGGGGCCCCCAATTCTAAGAACCTCCTGGAACTTGCAACCCTGCTCCCCAGGGACAATGAGAGGTCAAGTCAGAACCTGGGCTCTAGATCTCAAGTCATAAGCAAAGTCAAAGGCAGAAGAAACCCAACTGAAAAGTCAAGAGAAAGAGAAGACCTGCTCTCCCCACGCCACCCAGCATGGCTGTGGAGAATGATGTCATTAACATCCATGTCATTCAGCTGGGGAGAAGGAAGCCGTTAACGTCCATGTCATCCAGCTAGGGAGAATGACGTCATTAACATCCATGTCATCCAGCATGGTTTCAAAGAATGAAGCCATAGACACAAAGAAGAAAAAGCTTTAGAGTTATCTGCAACAAGCTCTGACTCTATACTCAGCAAGTCAAAGAGAGTCAAGTTCAAATGAATAGAACTGCATGGTATGCTAATCCCAGCAGAGGCAGAGGCAGGTGGATCTCAAGGCCAGCCTGGTCTACATAGTGAGCTCCAGGACAGCCAGTCTATACAGAGAGGTGCTGTCTCAAAAAAAAAAATAAATAAAAAAGTAGAATTCAATAGGGGGCTAGCTATAAAAATGGATATATGAAAATCAGTACCTTCTTCTACACACACACACACACACACACACACACACACTGATTTGAAAATATAATGAAAGAAAAAAATTCCATTTAAATAGCCAAATATATTTCCCCCCCCCCCAAAAAAAAGTAAGACTAAACCTAATAAAAATATGCAGGATCTATCTATATGATGTTTTAAAATGTTTAAATTCTAATGAGATTCTTCATAAAACTTTCAAAACCAACAGATGACAAGGCGGAGTGGGAGAAATGCCTTATGGTGCCCAAGAATAGAGATGAGAGAAGACAGAAGAAAGAGAATACGAAAAGTCACAACCTGCCTATCCTCTGGACTCACTAAGTATGGCTGCAGGTGACTTCCCTGGACCTGGGGTCGGACACGGGCAGGGAGGAGCCCGCCGGCCAGCTTGCCCTCGGAAACCGAGACAAAACAAGCCTCCCCACACCGGGTACCTTGGTTCCCTGCTTCCTCCTCCAACTTTACGGGTCACAGACAAGCTCAGCCCACAGGTCACCCTGCTGGTGTGTGGGTTACAGTGGCCGAAGTTATTTTTCAGGATTCTGGAGGAAACACCACCCAGGGAAAACCATCAGTCCTTCACTTGAGCCTGAGAAGTGAATTTCTGTCATCAAAGGGCCAGATCTTCACCCTCAGATCTCGGTAATGCTGCCATTTTCTGAACACACGCCCTGCGAGATGTGACATTTGAGCACACGTGCCCAGAGAACAGGCTACCCCATTTCTCCTTCAGTCCATCACCTTTCCTCATGCCTTAGAACACCCAGCTTCTTAAATCCACAAATGCCCTTAAACTCTGCATTTCGGGGGCGGCAGTGGGGGGCGGGGAGCAGATTTACACTCACTCTCCTATCTCCGTGCAGGAATAAACTCTCTTTTGCAAAACTCAGCTCTTCGGTGATCTGCAAACTGTGCTGAGAGCTTGGCCCGGTAACACTACCATCCACTACCTCCGATCCTCGCCTCTGTAGGGATGGTACCACCGTAAGGGTCCCCAAAATATATAAGGGCATCCCTGGGAACAAAGCAAAAAGGCACAGCAGAGCACGGCTGTGAGAAGCACCTTCGCCTCCCACGGAATGAAAATCAGACCCAACTCAGCTCCCAGGTCACAGACTGAATTCACTCCAGTGAACTTACATCTTGCTCCCAACTTCTCCACGTGGGAGAAGAAACCCAAGGCAAAGACCCACGTGTCCAGGTTCCTGAAACTCGATTTGGACAAACCAAGTACCAAGTCAAATAATGATGGTGATAATCTTATTAACAAATGAATTAAGAGATACTGCACAAATGTCATGTTATTCTAAATGAGATCAAGGCAAGAATTTAAGGCCCTTTTCCCTCCACAACACTCAGTGGACAACTTAATAAATTCATATCTGCTTGTTGGATATTAAAGAGTAATTTCTCATTCTGATCCAGTTGCCTGGAAACCCCTGCCTCCGTTCACCTCTTTGAGCTGAAGATAACTGGTATGCTCTTTTAAATCTCAGGTATCAGCTGGGAAGGGAGAGGCATAAATCATCGCCTTTCGCTAATCTCACAGGCGAAAGCAGTTCATCAGTCATTAATTTTTCTCCCTTCTGCACTGACTTGGGACGTGTCTAGACTAGACAGAATCGGAGCGGGGAGGGGACTAGGGGACACCTATTCTAGCCTGTGTTTTCACCTGGAAAATATGACAAGAGGGATTTGATTATCCCAAAATCCTGAGATCTACTGACCTCTGCTATGGTCTGAATGTACACACCTACACACACTCACACATACACACACACACACACACACACATATGCTAAAATGTAACCACTGTGTACGTAAGAATTGGAGACTGTTCAGAGGTGATTAAATCATGAGAAAGCAGGGTCTTCATGAATGGGCTTAGTGACCATTTAAAAAGGGTACACGAATGAACCCAGAGGACATTAAATTAAAAGAATACATCAGGAATAGAAAGACAAATTAGGGAAAAGCATTAAAAGTTGAACTTGGGCCAGCAAGGTGGCTCACTGGGTAAAGCACTTGCCACTGAGCCTGATGACCTGAACTTGATCGACAGGACCCACAAGCCCAGGGCCAGTTCCCACAAGTGTTCCTCTGACCTCCACACAGACATCATGGCACACTCACACATACATACAAACATAGTTACATAATGCGTACATACCTGTAACTTTAATAGTCTTTAAAGTTGCTCTCTTAGAAGTGAAGAATAGAATAATGAGTACCAGAGCTAGAGAAGGATGAAGTATGGGGGAGGGGGGGAGGCTAGAGAACAGGTACCAAAACAAGTGAGGAAGAAGATAAGTTCTAATGTTCCAAAGGGGGGGGGGACTATTTTACAACTGAATATCGTTTGTAATTTGCTGCATATTTTAAAATAGCCAAAAGATCAGATTTTCAATGTTCTCAACACAAATAAATGTGAAATGTTTAAGGTTGTGGAAATACTGATGACCCTGACTTGATCTTTACACACACACATACGTGTATACAGATACAACACTCACGGTCCTGGTCAGATTTGTTTGTTTGTTGTTTGTTTGTTTTTGTCTTGTTTTGTTTTGTCAACTTGACACAAGCTAGAGTCATCTACAAGGAAATCTCAACTGAGAAAATGTCCCTATCAGACTGACTTGCAGGCCAGTCTGTGGGGCGTTTTTCTTGATGAATGATTGGCATGGAAGGGCTCAGCCCACTGTGGGCGGTACCATCCCTGGGCAGGCGGTCCCAGCTGAGCAGGCTGTGGGGAGCAAGCCAATCAGCAGCACTCCTCTGCTTCAGTTCTTGCCTCTAATTCCTGCCCTGACTACCCTCAAGGATGGACTGGAATCTGCGAGGGGAAATAAACCCTTTCCTCCACAAATTGACTTTGGTCAGTGTTTTATCATAGCAATGGAAACGTAACTAAGAAACATACTATAAACCATAATAAGTCTGCATAATTTTTGTTTTGTTTTGTTTTGGTTTTGGTTTTTTGAGACAGGGTTTCAAAACAAGCTTTGCGCCTTTCCTGGATCTCACTCTGTAGACCAGGCTGGCCTCGAACTCACAAAGATCCGCCTTGCTCTGCCTCCCGAGTGCTGGGATTCAAGGCGTGCGCCACCACCGCCGGGCCAGTCTGCATAATTTTAGAAAGAGAGAGAGGGAGAGGTGAGAGGTTACTATTTATTCTCTCTTGCCCCATCTCAGATTTCTCAACCTTCAAAACTATAAGAAATAAACATCTGTTGTTTATTAATTACCCAGTCTAAGGCATTTTGTTATAGCAGCCTGAATGGGCTAATGCACACACACACACACACACACACACACACACACACACACACGCATACTTTCATACTTTCATCACAGAGCAAGCTGACCTTGTGTGTGTGTGTGTGTGTGTGTGTGTGTGTGTGTGTGTGTGTGTGTGTGTGTCTTGGGATGCCTGGCCCAACAGAACTCTGCCCCTTTCCCATCTCTGTCGGGCATTTTCATCTGAACCTCCTTGTTCTCTCAGGCAGCTATTGAGAGCTTTTCACTCATTTACCAGGTAGATCTTTTTGAAGTTCTCATTTAAAATAATTTGATATTCAAGCAGCAGTATGTGTGTGGTTGAAAGTCATGAAATTATTCATCAGAAAGCCCTCTTTCTTTCTCTCGGATAGCAAGTGAAGTGTGCAGCAGTTCCCCCGAGCAATGCTCGCTGCCTGGAAAACCTTTTTTCTACGGTGGCGATGCTTTGCCACCATCGCTAAATTGAGTTATTCCGACAGCCTTTGATGCACTGTGCTCCCCCCCCCCCGCCCCCAGCATACATATGAAGGCTGAACAGCAACATAATTTAATTCTTCAAGATTTGCTTTTTAATCACCGGGGTGGTTCTTGTGGGGTCCAGAAAGTTGACCCCATTTTCTCGAGTAGAAATTGACTTAGGTCAAATCATTCCTGGAATTTGAATTAGGTGTTTTGCTCCTTATCGGCTTTAACTTCAAGCTTCATTTTCCAGCAGCTGGGAACATCTGTGCTGCCTCTGAATCCCAGATGATTTGAGGAAACCAAATGTGGACAGAGAAGCTATTCACAACTTGCTGGGTTCTATTGGCAGAATTCTTCATTATGCTCTGAATTGGTGTCGAGGTACAATTGTGTTAGATGTCTGAATTCTCTTTACAAAAGGAAAATGAGACAATTACCAAGGACTTGGAATGTAATCAAAACGGCACAGCCATTTTACTGTTGAATAAGAAATCTTCCTGTAAACACTATAGCATGTTATCTCAGGGAGGGGAAAATATTTAGCATGTGGGGAATCGATTAAAAACAGTCATGGGAAGGTAAGAGACTTTCTCGATTCAAATATGCGCCGACAACATTATTGTCTGATTATTTATTCATTGAGGAAGGAACAAATGCATCTATTGCCAATAAAGCACCCCACCCACGCCACCAAAGTGTTTCTCCAGACAGAAATTGATCCTTGATCAGAGAAAGAGTCACAGAATTGCCAAGAGCCTGCCTAGCTGGTACAAATGCAGATCAAGGATCTAGAAGAAGTCGGGATGATTAGGCCATACCTCCTGCTTCTCAGACAGGCCCAGGCCAGAGCTGACACAAGCTGTACAGGAATGTCCCACCAGGAGCCCCAGAGGGAATATTCTAGAGGTCCAAGGTATAAAGTTATGGAAACAGTCTGCCTCTGAGGCCTCCTGACTCTGGGCAGTTCTGCTCTCCTTGTTTAGGTGACTGGAAAGGGGTCGTGGAGCTGGGTCACCTGCTCACCGTTTCTGGCAATGATCAGGTGCCCATAGTCCAACTTCCTGAATGTCATGTGACTCCCCCAAGAGCCCTGGACTCATGAACACAAGCTGGCTGTTTCTCTGAGACTGAGACCCTCCGTTCCCAGACAGGGTGATTATATGATCATGGGGACAGAGAGAATGTGAGCAGGAGAGGGGACCAGTTGTCAGACACCTCGTGGTTTGGCTGTGTGGCCACAAAGGGAAAGACAGACATAGAGCTAAGTGGAAGGCAGAGACCACTTCCTGGAGAAACATCATGACTTGCATGTAAAGTTGTCCACGGCATCCTCAAGCTAGGAGTTTGTGACAGAAGCTTCTCCAGGCAGGATGGCCCATTTGCTGCTTCCCAGGCTCCCCTTATTTGTGGCCCGCTTTCAAAACCATTGCCTTCTTCATTTCCCATTCGTCACTACTATTTTCTTAATATTCCCCCTTAGATCATCTGACATTTTATTTAATGTGGCTTTCAAAGAAAAAGACTTCCTGTCACCGTTATAAAGTGAAATCCACTTTCTCTGGCCTATGAATGCAAAGTCGCCATAAAGATAAATATAATTCCAGGCATGGTGGTGCATGCCTTTAATCCCAGTATTCATGAGGCAGATGAGATGATCTATCAGAGTTCAAGACTAGCCAGGCCTACACAGCAAGTTCCAGGACAGCCAGAGTTACATAATAGAGACAGCCTGTCTCAAAGATAGATGATAGATAGATAGATAGATAGATAGATAGATAGATAGATAGATAGATAGATAGATGATAGATAGATATTAAAATAAATATATAAAAATTAAAAACAGCATGATAGCATTCTAGCTATCTCAAAACTTCTTTTGAGGCTGGAGACATGGCTTATCAGTTAAGAGCACCTAGGACCCAAGTTCTGTTCCCAGCATCCTATACCCCATCCAACTCATCAATCTCTGGTCAAGAGCAGCCTAACAAAAGGTAAATGTCCTAGACCAAGTTCACAGCTAAGGGTAGGTCTAAAGTCAGGCAGGTGGGCACCTATAGCCTCGGCACCCAAGAGGCTGAGGTAGATGGATAGCTTGAGCCAAAGAGGTCAAGGCCACCCTGAGAAACATAACGAGAACCCATATCTAAATAAACAAACAAACATAGGGACAGGACTAAGACTCACTATACCATGACCTTGACAAAGCAGGCCCTGCTGTCAAGGTCAATCTAATCATCACCTTCAAGTATTTCCATTACAGCTCACCTGTCCTGTCTGTTTCTAGGTGGACTCTGCTTGCTGCTCAGCTTCTTGACCAAAAGCCACAGTCCTTCTTAAAGGACGGGGACGCATTACAAGGAGCTTGAACTGAATTTTCAGTTTCGCCACCTTCAAACCTTACTTACTGCACAATTCCTGAAAGACAGAAGAAAGACATCCTCCCCAGCTCCTGCAACCCCTCAGGAAAACTTGGAGGGCGAAGGGCGGGGGAAGAGAGAGCTATGACCCCAGCCTAGAGATCTGATTGAAGAGGCGATAGCAATCCCAAGCATTATAAAATTATCGACTGAAGAGGGACCGCCAGGAATTGCTCAAGCCAGGGCTTGTGACTTAATACACTCATGTTTGGTTTAGTTAATAGTTCAATTCC